GAGGGAGGGAGGGGGGGGAGGGGAGGAGAGGGGTAGAGGGAGAGGAAAGAGGCCGAGAGCATGAACAAGCGAGAAATACTGCGACAGACACACAAATATACTACTGACAACTGACATATATACAGCCATTATTTATGCACCCCGATCGGCGGCTTCTGAAGAAAGTCTAAGGCACTTGCCTTAATTCGTGCATTGCAACGAGCAGCCGAGCGTAGCTGACTCTGCAAAGACTCGATTCGGAACTCGTCTTCACATCTTTCGTTATCCGGTTGCTGCATCAGTAAGATCGGCTTCAACAACCACAAGAAGGTCCCCACAAAGATCTGCTAGCCAGAAGTCGCCCCAGATGTAAGAGCTTTGGGGGGAGTGGTCGAGTAGAAATGACAAAAGGACAACGACATGTCCACGGGCTCGCATCAGCACACAGGTATGGTTGGAATTGCATACGATTGGCAACTGGTCCGAGAGTCTCGTGCTTAGGCAAAATATTCCATGCTCTCTCCCAACACGATCATGACGACAATCGATGCAATCACAGCTCGTTGAGATCAGCGCCGTTGCGACCCCTGCACCGCCACAAGAATCAGCAATGCCGCAGTGCGGGGCTGGAGTGTCGAGTTTGCTGGGCAAGTCTTGGGCAGAGGGGCCCGAGGATGTTGGAGGCTTGCTCGAAACTACTTGGCAGCACGCAGCCCGGCAAAACTGCTGATATCCGCTAGAGTCCGCTAGAAGGGCACGCCGAACATTTGCTCCCCGACCTCGCTGGGCGCTCTGCCGTCTCGGGGCCTTCCTGAGCCGGGTCTTGGAACTTGATGGCTAGACTCGGCCGAAAAAAGTCGCCAATGCGGTCTGGCAAAGATATTTTCTACGTGCCTTGCCCGCGTGGCATGCATGCCTGCCAATACGACCGACCTACCTACATACGCGATGGCCCGGTCGGCCTGTCTTTCCTAGTGCTGAAGATTCGAGCAGCAAGCAAACGTCCACATGCTGAGCGGGGCAATCTGCGTCAAACTGCCCAGTCTTGGCTGCGTGCCTTTGCATCCCAGGCCGCCGATGATTTCATCCGCTCGGCCACCGCAGGCATCAGCGAGAGGACGCCTTCAACGGCTTCGGATTCTTAGAAGGAGACCAAAAAGCTTGGGGCCAAGCAAGGTCCCCTCAAGGCTGTGATTTTAATCTCAGGGTGTGCATTGATTGACCCTCCTTCTGATCTGTGGTCATGGAATGCGGGCGTGTTGATGCCACTTCGAGGGTTGGAGTTAGGTCATAGTCAAATTGCGTATACATATGTGTATATATACACAGATAAACGAAAAAAGGATGACCCCAACTGCTGTAGTTAAAACCCCAAGCACAAGTGACTTACTGAGTCCTAGATCCTTCTAGCATCTTCCATCAGCATGAGAGGTCTCTGGACTTTCACGCCTTGTGCAAGGATCGCGGCTGTTGAAGTCGTCCGAACAAGCTATTGGTTTGCAGGAGGGTTCCAGGTTGCAGCTTCGGGCTGTAAAGGTTTAGGGTAGTCAACAGGACCTTCAGCATGTTGGCGAGACCAGCGCTTGTCGAAACAACTGTACCCTCGCGTTCTCTCTGTCCTCAACCTCCGCACCACAAGCCCCGTTTCAAAGCCACCTTCTGGATCCTGAATTTCAAAGGGTCCTTCTCCCCTCCATACCTGGCGGCACGGCATCGACTGGGAACTGGTGAGCCAAAGCACGTCGCCGACGGTGCTGATGGGCGTATTCCTGGGAGGTGGAGGCATCCTCCAAACCAGGCAGCCATGCTCCGAAATCTCCGAGAACTGATATTCAGTTGAAAACCTTATTTTGAACCACGACTTCATTTTGGGTTAAAGAAGCTTCAAGGTTTAGGAATGGCTTGGAATGGAAGGCCAATCAACTCAAAATGAACAAACTAGTTCTAGCAACCCCTTGGGCCCCATATTTCAACGTGAATGACAAAGAGCTCCACAGGAACACCCATTTTTGCTATGTTTGACGGTGCTAAAGTCGGTTAAAACATGTTGAGGGTCCTGAAGGTAGATTCATGAGCACGGGATTTATGTAGTCTCTGGGTGATTCCGGCTTCCCCGAAATAGTCCTCTCTTCGCAGGTTTGACTTGCTGGCCAATACAGGGGCCTTACTTGTTGGACTCCGGTAATAGTAGTGAAATAAACAAATAGGGAACTCTGTGGCGCAGAAGGTTCAGGGAAAGATATCAACACCAAGACAGCCAACCGCTATCGTCGATGACGGAAAGGGGATGACTGCGGTCCCACCTGGCGTGGGGTTTGTTCTCCAATGTCTGCCTGTACTGCACCCAAGGGCAATGACACGTGTTGCCGCAAGCAGGAGCCCTGGCGGATGCAACGCCAGAAGCGCCGAGGATGAATCCAGCCTCGCGCAGCCACTGGCTGCAGGTTTTTTGAGCGCCTTCCAAGCCCTTGCAGCGAAGGATAGCAAGCTTATCACGAATAGCATCGGAGCGAGCTTGCTGCATCATGCTTCATGCCAGCTGGCATGCGCCCATGCGTCTGCGTCACGGAGTCGCATGCTGACGGGGCCAGAAGGGTCTAGGTCCACTGCGGGCGGTGGGACGAGGTGAAAGAGCTGACCAGGTGACACTCGAAGACGACACTGCATTGATACTTGCCTCCCAACTGGAGGCTTGGTGCGGTCTGTTCAAAGTGGCGCTTCATAGAGGGCCACAGGGACTGGTGCACCGTTTTTGCCCGGACGGGTAGCAGAAGTATGGCCCGGAAGGAGGTGCAGCTGGTGCGCTCTCCCTTGCCTTTAAAAAGCTATATTATCGTTTGGCCCGACCTCTCAAAACAGTTGTGCATGGCATCAACGGAGGTGGTCCCCCCGTCCATCGCGGCAGTCTCAACTATCTGTGAGCCTACAGTCTTGCTCGGGCAGAAAGGCAGGCTCCTTCCTTGAAGGAAGCTCAAAATCAACAAGCCAAAATATGTTCATGTCGAGTTCTGGACAAGGGTCCAGTAAGCAGAACGCGTTTTAAACATGGGGTCTTAGGAGAGCATGAACCTATGGGGTACCGGAGCCAATTAAATGTCGCTGATGCCTGTCCGAGTCTCTCCAGGATCCACGGCACGACGTCGCACTCGTGACCAGTTCGCAGAAAGTGGTCTCCTACACGATTATGGAGGTTCCGGGCTGGACTTGATTGTGGGATTGCCGGTTCCTCCGGTGCCAAGGCCTTGACCTTCAATGTTAACCTTTGCACCCGAGCCCTCAATCCCACAAAGGCCCTGAGCCCAAGCACGAACACCGAAAAGGTGCTGGACAGCCCCTGGGTCCCGTGGAAGAGGCTGCCATCGAGGGCTGTCAGTAGCTGCTCCACCCGCTCCTGGAAATCCCATTCTTGTACTGCGGTCCCGTAATGACCCTAGGATCCTACTAGGTTGACTCGCAAACATCTTAATTTGCCTGCTTGTTTTTATTCCTTCTGTTGTATTGTATCATTAGCGGGACGAACTTCTTGTATTGTGGAAGCGGGTGCCAAGAGAACCGAGAGTAAATGGCTACTGCGGCTACCGGCTTTTCTTGGAACGGCTACTGGCTTTTCAATTTCCTGGTTGCTCACGCTGCATTTGCTTTGGGGCTCTGAGGCTAAAACCATTTGGAGCTCACTGCCTCGCTAACAGCTTGACACGATGCCCTGATACCAAACTTCGCACTCGAAGCGTGAACTGCGTGAGTGTCGTCATACCTTCAATGTACCGCAGGCACCCCGCCAGCCACAAAGCAAAGCCGCATCGCACCTGGGAGCCCTGCACATCGGCGAAGGCGAATCCTTGCAGCTCTTGGCATGCAACAAGCTCAGCCTCCACGCCAAGTTGCAAAACTCCCAACTGGAACACGGTAGCAGTACGAATGCTGAACATGGATACTGTAAGAACACCATGTATCAACCACAAATCGAAGACAGCAGCAATAAAGGTCTAAGCGGAGGTGGGGACCAAAACCCCTCACGGGCCATTTCAGCCCAAGTGCTGCCGGTGTGATGCACGGAGATGCGCTTCAACGGAGGGCCTCTTGTCGGCAAACATCCGGACAAATTCTCTGCAGCGCCCCAGACAACTCGCATAGGTTGCTGTGCTTCTCCAACCATGACGTACTGGGCTTCTAGGGCGTCTTGTGCCGGTCACTTCAGAAAAATCCGATTAGGAATCATTCTCCATCACGCCTTCTTCCAGATCGTAGCCGGGCAAAGACATGGCCAGGCCAGCCACGTGACGGTCCAGGTGCCGCAAGAGGCGGGTCTCCTGAAAGCAGTTCTCTTTCTCTGCAAGTAGGGGCTCAGAGGTTTAGAGGAGTTTTGTCGGGTTGTCTGAGAGCTTAGCTGGCTTGTGTCGGGCTTTATACGGCTTGTGCAGATTTCAATCCTTGCTCGGGGTAGGAGGTCTAGTTAGTCCTCACCCGTCTACGCTTCGCTAGACCTTTCTGGGGGAACGTCTAGCAAATGAGTGGGAGGTAGTTCAAGGTCGACTGCCCCCAGAACAACGTTAAGGCTCAAAGCTGTGGAATAGAGTCCCGTGGCGTTTTCTCGCCCCAAGATGGTGCCGGTCAAAGCCAGCACGCACAATGACGACAACGACACCACAACAACAAAAACCAGAACGTCTGAAATGTCAGTCTCCTGGCACATGCCCACTCCCAACAGCAATAATGCACGATGAGCAAGCCTCCTTATCGCCCTTGCTGTCCTTTTTTTCCTTCCCCTCTGTCCTTGGAGCTCGGCTGCCCGTTCTGCCCGTCATCTTCGTCGTCGCTGAGCTGGCTCAGGGTATGGCGGCCTGGTGGATGCAGAGAGATCGTATTACACATGGCGACAGAATTATGCTGGAAGTTTACAGATCCCCCTGTTCTCATGTAAGGAGATATTGCAGCCAGGGGAAGCGAGGAACCCACGGGATTGCTGTAACACGTCTGTCTTTCGAGTCTCAACTCCTAGGCAGGAAGGCAGGTCCCCTTCTTAAGACCCTAAACCCTAAACCCGAGCTATATCTGGACGCGTCGCTCGGGAGGTTGCCAATCCACAGTCGGCAGTTTGATTGTGGCCCTGTCGATGGCACCATCGGAGGTGGAGGCGGAGAGACGTCCAAGATCGCCTGAACCAAGACCCAAATGGAACACCGTTCATCGATGTTAGAAAAGGACTTCAGAGTTGGTGTTGATGGGTTTTTGAGAAACACTGACCAAACAACCAGGGTAGGTCAATCTGGTATGCACACACATGTGTGCATGTGTGAATGTGTGTATGTGTGTGTGTGTGTGTGTGTGCGGCATATGTGTGTATGAATACATGTAAGTATGTACGTATGTATGTACGCCTATGCATGTATGCTTGTATGCTTGTATGCTTGTATGCATGTATGCATGTATGCATGTATGCATGCATGTCAGTGTGTATGTTTACGAGTGCATGCATGGATGTATGGTGTACGAGTGTATGCATGCACGCATGCATGCATGCATGTGTGTGTGTGTGTGTGTCTCTCTCTCTCTCTCTCTCTCTGCGCGTGTTTGTATGTTTGCACAGAAGCCTGTCTGCCTGTTTGGCTGTCTGCAGTATGGGTACGCATATGTGTGAGGCTTATGCCGGAGGCCCTCCGGCCTGACTCTCCTCCTTCGGCGCGGGCGGCGGTTGCATTGGAGGTGGTGGCGGCTTCAGCACAGCTCTTTTCCTCGGTGCGTTCGGAAGGCGGAACAGGATATCAGAATACATGCGACAGCGCTTATGGTTCATAGGGCTTGTGCTGGCCCAGCATCAAGTCCAACGGCTCCTCCACGCCCTCATCGTGCTTGAAGCTGCTTGGCCGGCAAATGAGCACCTGGAGTCAAAGGAATCCGAAGCAGGGTGGGGTTTTGCGGATCGTTTTTGTGCAAGAATGGTACATGCTGCATGAATTAAAAAGCTTCGGTCTTTCTATTGTACCTGACGCACACACACACACACACTGACTGCCTGACAAGTGAGACTAAGACATACCATGGGTAATGTTCGTGCATGGCTCGTGCTGCAGCAGGCTCGGATGATTCATTCAACGTCTGAGCTTCCGAGACTGAATGGAGCTGGAACAATCGTTCGGTACCCATGCAAGTATCTATTGCATACAGCAACTACGACTCCAACGATCTTGATCTTGGCAGAAAAATGGCCTCCGACTCCCCAGGTAAATCAGCAACAGAGAGCGCCTTCCTCCCGTGCACCACAATCTCCTCCATCGCGACCGCAGTGCTTGCCAGCCTTCCGATCAAGGGGTCTTACGGCTGGGGTGGTGAAGGGCCACAGGTTTTGGGGTCGGATTTTGGGACTCCTGGAGTTCTACATATGCCTACCTCAGCGCTACGCTCTACTGCAGCGCGAAACAGCTTGAACAATCTCTGAGCTGTTCATCAGTTTGGGGTATTTGTAACCACATCTTGAAAACACAGGGCGAACGGAAGACAACTCGCCACAGCAGACAACTTGTGCACCAGAACATGTGCCAGGCAAGGGAGGGTGAACCCTCATCATGTTGTTGTTTGGTTTGCTCGTAATAGTTTACAAACAGAAATTGACATCGCTTCAGTCTTGTCGTTCTACAAGACTTTTCGACTTTGGGCCTACTGCTTGCAGTCGAGCAATGCAACACTGGGAGTCCGAGTCCCATGTGGAGCTCTGCCACCACCCAACCTAGCCTATGCCCTCATGGCCCCAAGCTGCCAGTCGAATGCCTCAACAGAGAGTGGCAGACTGGCCCCGGCCTGGCATCTGCGAGCCTCACGAAGCCAAAAGAAGCCCCGATAGCCAAGCGCACGTTGATGATGGGCGAGTCCCTTAGAATGTCTGGAGCTTGCTGCTAGGCGCTCAGCTTCTAGCCAAAGCCTACAAACTGCACCGTTGAATTTCGAACGCAGAATCCATGCATGGCACAGGAAAGGGTGAAATAATGAAAGGCACGCAAGCATGCGCACACGAATGCACACACACACACACGTACAGCTCATGCCGAATCGGGGCAAACCTTTCAAGACCCACATGCCCAGCTAAACAGGTCAAATAACCCTGCGGAAACATCCTTACGACCCGCCGACCCCGCTCTCTTTTCTCCTCGGTCGCACGAAAGCCGCAGTGGATCGCGTGGAGCCCACCTTTTTCCGGAGTGGGGCAGATCACTTCATGTCTTTTGGCAAAGCTTTGAGTTGGCTCATAGTATACTAGAGTATACTATTGTTATCGTATATTATAGTAGTATATCACAGCATCTTATACTACAGTATATTTCTGACACTGTCGGAGTCCGGAGGCCTTGTGAAGGGCCGAAATGGGGGAGATCAGTAGGACCACGGCTAGGTGGGATTGCGCTCTGAATGCCATTCGAACTTCCATTGGTATATGTAGGAGTGCCGATCAGGTCCAGCAGGCAGACTAGTGGATGTCAGGTCGCATTTTGCAGGATGTTTGACGAAGAAGCACTACACCGTGGCGAATTGCTGTATCGATGAAGAACAGCTCGTGGGCCAGCATTGAACACTTAACACCGGCTCACCCCTCACGGGGCCACATCAAAGCTCCGCCCAAACCTTCGAACCCTCCATACATGCCAACGCGGTCCCTTCGGCCTTCTTCCAAGCCCGAGAACAGTGGCAGCAGGCCAGAAGGCTGCCTCGCGGCATTCTCACCTGAATTTGATTCATTGTGAGGGCGCCTTCGCGCCGAAATTCTCGAAGTTTCCGTTTCCACTCGATTCGGGGACTGGTGTTGTCCATGATAGTGTCCTGTTCCGGTGGCCCCCAAAAGGGCTACAAGCTTGAACACGTACCCAAGACCCGGCCCGAGCCGGAGCTCTCCGAGAGTTCCGTAACGGGGCACACGCTGCTATGGCCGCGCTCAAGGCGATGGCATCGGCCTGCACGTCCCTGGAGACCATCTCCTTGCAGCAGAACCATGACCTGTGTAGTTCTCACTTACATTACAGAGCTGCAAGCTGCACAGCTATGCGAACAGACTACAGCTTGGAGAAGACTGTTGGATCGCATTGTCCTCGAAGAGGGTGAGTGCACGTTGCCATTTAGCGAGGTCGGCGAGCGCACGGATCGTGACATCAAACGTGACACCATCCGGCCTCGAATGAACTGAACGAGAACAGAGCCACGGCTCGGAACTTGGGCTGAGAATCGAGCTTGATCTGTTGAGGAGGCGGGATGCAAATTCACAACATCACGGGAGGAATCGAGGAAGCATTTCCAGGGACTTGGCTTCCTGCTAAAGGCTGCGAGTATAAGCATGCGAGTCTTGCTAGATTACATTGAAACTCGTACAGTAACCACGAAATTCGATGACTCGGCTCTCCACTTGAATTCGACGTCTTTCTTCTCCTGTTCCCCCTCTAGAATATAGAAGACCCGCATGCCGCCTTCGAGACTAAGCCGTTCTCCAGACCAGCTTCAAGACCTTCTGTGCAGAGACATGACCCCCCAAGCAAGATCTGAAGAAGCTTCCCAGAACCCTCGTACACCCAAAACCCTGCATCCTAGAACCCTAAATCTCTACAGCCAAGGACTGCGCAGACACACACACTCTAATGACCCCGAATCCATCCGAGCGCTATTGAGCCTTGTCCACAGGTGGTCCATTTCCTCCAGAAGCTCGAGGGCTATGCTTGCCACTAAACCCTCGCGCGAGAGGCCAAGCGTGGGCTGTTTAGGGATCTTTGGGGTCGTAGGGGCATTCTTTTCTGAGGCGATGTGTGGGTCGTGGGAAGATGGGTTTCTGGAAGTATCTCAGCACGCTTGTTTCGAGTCATATGCCTACAACCGCCGACATGGCGACATGGACTTCAAGCTGCGAAGACAGGCTTTGGCTTCGGGATTCGGAGTGGAGCCCATGTCTTCCATGGCTAGTCTGAACTTCGGCATTGTGACCAGGGCTCGGTGGACATCCTGACTACACAAGCTCCTGCCCACCAGCAAGACGAAACGTGCGGGACAGGTGGTCTTTGTTGGTAGAGCGCACGCACATGAGGGCAGTGATCAGCTCCCTGGAGAGCTTTAGCGACCCTCAGGCAGTAATGTAGGGTCCGTACTAATCAGACGAGGGATTTGGGGTGTTGGTGCTATATCAAAAATAAGGAACCCCCCAAGTTAGTATAGGTAATTATGAAGGCCCCTATACTACTTCTCCTCCCTGCAGGCTCTGCGAAGATAAGCCCATGGCAGGTTTCTTGATCCTGAACCAATCAAACACTGTCTTTCGATCCCTATCACGTTCCCGTTGATCCCTGTGCCCCGGATACATCACAATCCATAAGACCACAATCCCACAGACCCACGGAATCCCAAACCCATGAACCCTAAACCCTAACCCTTAATGTCCCTGGCCCTGAGCCCTAAATCCCAAACCCTGACCCTTGAACCCTGAACCGCAACCTTGCTTCAGCCCTGGGGGAACTTCAGCCCACGCCCCTTATACTGCCTTGCAGCAAGCGCTGATGAGCGCGTTGTAGCTGATGCGATCGCCTTCCCCGTAGCCTGTGGTCTGATCGGCTTGAAAAGAGCCTCAAAAGGGGGGTTTCTTGAAGGGGTCGCATCTGCGAATTCACGGGTTTTCAAGGCCGACGAGTCAAGCTGAAAGTCTTACTGGGATCCGCAAGTGCCGCTGTTCCACAGATCATAAAGTCAGTGTTCCTCCGCTTCCGGCTCCAAGCCCTCCAAAACGTCTGAATGTGATGCGAGAAGCTGTACTGGAAGTTGGATAGCAGTTGCAGTCCCTCCTGCGTCAAGCATTTGCATGCACGGCGGTTCTAAGCCTCCTTCCAGCCGAGACACAAAGTTATTGAAACCAGAACTATGCGCTCCCCAATCAAACTAAACGAAACCGAGAATCCCAACACCTGAAGTCGAAGTCTGGGAAGCCGAAATTCTCTTGACTCCCTTACCCTCGTCGCCCTCGTCCTGCCAGCGGCTGTTCTTTTCACAGGCACTGATCGCCGCGGAGCAGGCAACCACGTCCATGGCCAGCTCCCTCTCGGCCATCTCCTCCGGCAGGTGCTCTGGATTTCCGCTAAGGAAACCAATGATGCTACAACTTCGGGAACCCAGACCATGAACATTGTAAAGCAACGGCCAGAAAGTTGGAACACCATATCCTGGTACCCCTAGGGTAAAATTTATTCGGTCCCTTCACTAATCATCCTGAATCCATGTTCCAACTTTCTGGGAACCACTATACGTATGTCAAGGGCAAACGAGTCTTAAACAGCCTCCCCAATCCCGCAGTTCTTCCAACTGTCTTCGTCTACATTGACAGCGATGTTATCCAACGTGTCAGGAGGAGGAGGAGGACGAGGAGGAGGAGGAGGAGGAGGAGGAGGACGGAGTGCTGGCTGGCTGGCTCGGGATTTCTGCTCTTTCGATATTGGGCCTGCAGCTTTTCGCGGACCTCCTCCTTGTTTCTGAGATGGGAGGGGTCATCACCGGTCCCATCTCTGGGCTGTTCGCGGGCATGGAGCTCCCAGAATGACGTGGAGTCGACTGGGCTCAACGCTCGAAATCGAGAGTCTCGCACGAAACCTTCAAAACTCCAGGCATGCTCAAACTCCCTCCGACTCCCCAAGCCCCAAGACCTCACCCGCCCAAAACCCGGAAGACTCGCGAAAACCGCACCACACCCAAACTCCCGAAATATCCCCCGGAAGCGTAAGCCAAGAGGCCGAGAGCAGCCCCAAGGCTGACTCCCACTGCGCTCCTTTCCTTAGGCTGCAGGTGACTGCTTCCAAAGGTTTGTAGAGCGTGGCTTTAGGCTTTCGGCTTTTTGCGTTTGGCTTTAGGGTGTCGGCTGCAGTGTTGGACCTGCAATTTCAGGTTTAGGTTGCAGATGTACGTACGATTTAGGCATAAGCTCTCGTCTTTTTTTGGGGGGACTTTTACCACACTGAGTACAGCGTAGAGAGCCTCGATGAGGCAGGCTGCTTGCCCAAAAACCTTATCCCTCTTTCAGGACTTGACGAAGACACCGACCAGTAGCCCAGGCAACAGCACTCGGGTTTACTGCACGGGGGTTCAAACTCAACATCCCGAGGATCCCTGAGCCCAAAACCCCAAGAATCTGTCAACTTTCAACTACGAGCAGGATGAGAGTCTCGCAGGCACTCAGCGCAGCGCTGCAGGCGATCAGGTCTGGCTGGAAGGACCTCCCGGTAGTCGGGATTCTTGTTAAGCAACTTACAAGAATACCGCCATCTAATATCTACATGCATACTTACATAATCTACTTACATTGTTGTGGTAGTTTCAATGGTCAATAGGCTTTTCAAGTCTTGGTCAGCACTTCGCAAGAACCCAGCAAGTGAGGCTTTGTTGCACTTTCCGGCCCAAGGTATGGTGACGAGCTCGGACTCAGGTTCTCCTGTAAGTTCTCCCACCTCGGAGCCTTTCAAGCTGGACGCCTTACAAGACCCTACTAGTAGCTGCCCTAAACCAAGCCATCCGCAGCGACAATCTCAACCCTAAACTCATATTGAACTCCAGAGCCTAGACGGGGCGGGGCCTTGCTTCCGACTCTGCCAGCAAGCTGAGTGCGAGCTCCCAGTGCTGACCATCTCGGGAGGTCTTGATTTTTTAAAGAAGCTGCAGCTGGCTTTTAGGACCTTATAAGCGCAAGGGCGTACTTGGGCCCCATTGTCAGCCTCATCGGTCTCTTGCTATGGGATTCCTGACATCATGTCCAGGCGCCTGTGCATTTCCCCGATTGTGCCTGGACTCCTGGACTCAAGTCCTGAATCTCTGATCTGCACCGCCGCGATCATGGCACCCGTGCACTACGGGGTACTGCGGTCCCAAACTGTAATTTGTTGCATCAGCATACAATGCATGTAGCTTGCTGCGAAAGCAGCCCTATGACCATACGCTGAACTTTAGATCCCAAAGCATAAACATATAAATCCTGGACATTTTCAGGGACGGGACAGAATTGCGAAGCAAGCGTTCAGCCAAGCACATGCAAGCCCAAGCTGCCTCCAGTGATGTCAGCTTCAGGCTGAATTTGCTGTCAACCCCTGAAACCCTAGTGCGTCTTGTCAGTCGGGGGTCTGAAGCTGTCGAAGCCGAGGATTTCAGCAACTGTTTTAGGCCCAGTGGCTCTCGCAGGCTTTGATGGCAGCTCCGTAGGACACGCCATCAGCCTCTGGTAGGTGGAAGAGTGTGCGATCTTTGTGGTACGGGGCTGGGGCTGTCGTTCTTCGGATCACGCAGAGGCGAATCTCATCAGCAGCAGAACCAACGCCCACTGATCAGAACGGGAGCCACGGTTGGAACAAAAAACAGCTTGGTGCGGCTGCCAATACTACCGTCTTCACTTCTTGATATTCTCCGTCTCTCGTTGCTTAGTTTGCTGCTATGCATACGTCTACGTGCGAATGCCCACGTGGCTGACCGTGTTTTCCCACGACCAATACTGAAACAAGCATGCGACAGTGCTTCGTGAATATGAACAAGACCCTTGACATGATGATAATCATGAAGAAAGGGATGGTGAGGTGCTTTTTATGGAGATGACCACGACGGTGGGGACTGGGATGAGGAGCAGGAGGACGACGCCGATGACGAGGCTCAGAGAGATGTCACGAGGCAGTGCCATCCCATCCTGATCCTGTGGGTACCTCGACGAAACTCCGATCCTGGCATCCTGACATCCGACATGGTCGCCCAGACGGCCGCAACCCGAGCTTTGGCCTGCAAGTCCATGCTACGCATGTCGCCGAAGAGGTCAAGGGAGCGCTGCCACTGCTCGCCTTATCCGGGGTTGGAGCTTAACTCAAGATGTTCAGTTCACGTGCTTTTCGAGTTTTCGGAGGTCGGGTTGCCAAAATTTAAGGATCTAGGGTGTAAAGGGCTGGGTATTTCAGGTGTAGGTTCACAAGGCCTTGTTTCAGCCGCTGCCGCATTTTCGTACTGAGCACGGCCATCACGAACATTACACAGATACACATCTGTACATACATACATACCTACCTACGTNNACGTACATACATACGTACATACATATCACATCATACTTATGCATACCTCCTGTGGGCCGGCGTGAGATCGCAAATGTCGTTTTCAGTTTGCCCTCCCGGCCTGCAGTGAACGCGGTGATAAGGGAGTTGTATGCACTGGTATCCAGTGGCAAGCCATCCTCGGCCAGGCAAGGACTTTTTCTCATGCTGAAGCCAAGCGCACATAAGGGTTTCCGTTCCCAAATACAATAGACGCAGGAAAGTCATGGCATGGCTTGCCAACTATGAGTGTTGATGCTTTCAATTGCCGAGACCAAAATAGAACCTGACTGGCACAAAGGCTTTTGGACCTTCCAAGTCCGTCCAGAAGCAACTCAAGTAAAACCACATGGGCATGCAGAAGAGCGCTTTTCAACTCCAACTGCGTTTCATGGCAGTCTCGTGCACGCGGTCACTGGTCCGTCGCAAACTCTACACGCTTCAAGACGTCTCAACCCCAACTATCCAATATCGCAATAGACCCTCTCCAGACGCAGGCAAGGGTCCGTAATCATTTCGCAAGCCAGAACCAATGAGTGTCGCCAAAGTGACTGCCTTGAAGAGCACTGGAAGGTTTGCAGTTACATGTCTGTCTCTTGAGCGAAGGCTGCGTCCTGATAAGGGCTCAGGATTTAAGATGGACTCGCAAGCACGCGCGGCAAGTGTCGTAAAGCTACCAGGCTTAAGAATCCAGGAACCCTTGCCATTTCCTGAGCTCGTGGATCAAGACCCAAGCGAATCAACTTAAGTTTGTTCACCGACCAGGCACTGGGCGCAGGCTGACATAGTTGCAGTGTACACCACGGTGTTGGCTCCCGTGGCCGTTCCTCGACTCAAGCTCTTCGCCAGGATTTCCTGATTGTTAAGTCAATGAGGTGATTTTGGTAACTCAGGCTTCCACCTCGGCTATGCTCGAAGAGGCAGAGGGCCCAGCGCCACAAGCCTCCGCTGCGGACCAAGCTCTCTGCACCGGCCCCGCAAGCCCCAAAACACAAGCCGGGGCAGCACCATTCTCACGGCCTTCAGTGGCTAGGGCCCCGGGCACATGGAGCCCACAGTACACATTCGACGGGCCAGGTTAATGAAGTTTCTGAGTTGAAGCATATGCTGGGGTTGAAGGCAGTAAACTCGGTATGTTTCATGCACTCAGTGCACCAAGCATCTCGCGAAATAGCTGTATTCCAAGGAATGGTTTGTTGAGGTGTGTGAAACCTCAGCAACCAACAACCAAGCATGCCACAAGGCAAGCCAGCAAGAAGCCACCCGCCCAACCAACCAACCAACCAACCAACCAACCGACCAACCAAACCCAACCCACCCAACCCGACCAAACCCAACTCAAACAAAACCCAACCAAACCCAACACGGAAAAGTCTCAGGATCATTGACCGAGTGAGAACATGGATCAGACCCTGGCGGTCAACCCAGCAATCCCGACTCCAATGAGAACAAATTCAACCCAACGCAACTAAACCCAACCAAAAACAACCACAACCAACCGCAACCAATCAGCCAATCAACCGAGCATCCAACCAAGCCTCCCTGCTTGCCTGCCTGCCTACCATATTCACATTGCCCTGTGTTTCATGCACACATCTTCGCGACGCGTGTGCATGTTTGTGTACGTGTTTTCGCCGTTGAAACCTGAAAGCTTCATTCGCAGGTGAGGAGCCGGGATCTGAGCATGCAGAGATCGCGGCGCTGAATGTCACCTGCATCCGGATGCGCGCTTGAATCGCAGTTCCGAGGGAGAGCTGCTCGACAATGCCACTAACCATTGTTCTGCTACGTGAAACCAAGCCGGCAACCCAGCCAGGGAGTGAAGGCACTACCGTGACAATCGACGGCTCTGAATTCACACGACTTGTAATGAGCTCAGCCTCGTGGATTCAGAAAGCACTAGCAGTAGCAGCCAAGCCTGGTGTCTACTGATGTACAAGCAAACAGAGGCTTGCCTCAACCCTGTAATCCCAGCCCCCAAATCTTCAAGCAAAGGCAGCTCTTTTTTTGCGCTCAGCAGACGTGGTATCGTCGGCCATAGCATGCCCTTCCCGATTAAAACGTACTTTCTTAGAAAGTGTTCGTGGACCGTGGGGACTTGCAACTCACCAGGCCAGTGGATGTTGATGCTTTACCGTTCCTCCAATCCCTTCATTTCCACATCCACGCATGTTGCGATCAAACTATCGAAATCCACCTCGTCAACCCAGCCAGTACTAGCTTCGTTAATCGCAGGACTCACACAGCCTGCAATGAGGTTTGACACTGAAACCGTGAACCCTGGCCAAACCCCTGAACCCATGCCGTCCTCGGTCAGTTTACAAGGCCCTCACTCTTCAGAATCGAGCGAAACATAAATAAACTCAGGCCTCCCTGCACCAGACAGAACAGAACCCTGCATCATGTCCTCAAGCCCTTAGGCTCGGAGATGCTCCCTTTAAGAGTCCGACTGCTCTCCCTCGTCCAGAAACCCATATTCAAAGTAAACCTTGCACATCAATACTCTCACACACACACACACCCGCACACACTTCGCAAATGTACAGAACTGAACTTAAAACAGCCCGATCGTGCCCTGCACACAGGGAGGCCCAGCTTGAAACCGTCAGCAGCAGAATGTTCGCTTGCCTCGATGTTTGAAGGATCACGGCTCATGGGTTCCGGGGTCTTCCTTGTGCTTTTTTGTTGGGGCGGTTGTGGGTTGAACCGTTGTAGGTTCAGCGGCTGAGGCTTGAGGGGTGAAATCTGGGGTCCTTAGAGTAGGGATCTTATTTGGCACCGCTCCCCATTGGGGCTGGGGGAACCACTGCGAGGCTCGGGGACGTAGTAATAGGGCAATAAGTAGGTTAACCCCATCAGCGGTGCTTACAACCCCAAGCACAGCCTACCTACTGACCATTACCAAGTACCATGAGCCTTCCTGTCTAGTCTGGAGCAAGAAACACGTGGATCGATGTAGTAAATAAACCCTAAAGCTCTAACTCTAAAACGAGGATGCATGGGGCCTCTGGAGACAAGATTGTTACTTTCTTGCCGTGCCAAGAGCCACACCGCACGTCTGAGCTTTTTGTTGGGTTCCTGGTCGTAGCTTTTAGGGTGTACCTTAACCCCGAATAGCCTACCTTTTTAAGGGTTTATAAAAAAAAGAAATCATAATAAGGAGCCCTAAAAAGGTCGGTTCTTTAGGGTCCAGGTAGGGCCTGAATAGATCTCGCAAGCCGTTATCAGGCCACCCAAGAGTCCTAACGTTTCGTGGTCCCAGGTCACGACTGAGGAAGCGCAAGCTTCTGTGAGATGTTGGGCTCTCTCTAGCCGTGCCATGCTCTTTGGAAACCAAAACCTCTTGTACCATAACCATAATCAGGAACCCTAAGCAAGAAACCCTACACCCCTCAAGCCCCTAAACCCTAAACTCCCTAAACCCAGAAAACCCAGCCCAGGTCTTCAGACCCGCCCCCCCCTCCCCCCCCTCTCTCCTCCTTTTTTAATTTTTTATCCTCCAAGCCACAAGGCCCGAGGCACCCTTGGCAGCTGGCACAGTTCCACACGTCCATGGCCTCGGAAGGAAGGACGGGGCAAAAAGAGGAGGAGAGCGGAAGAAGGTGGGGAAGGTCGGGAACCGCATGGTCTAGGGTTTAGGGGTTTAGGGCGTTAGGGTTTAGGGTTTACTCTTAAGAGTGTTCAAAAGTTGTAAATAAACAGACCCCAAGCCCTCAAAAAACCCTGAAATCTAGGTGCCCCAAGATACCCCACTTCCTGAACCCAATAGGCTGTCTTGGTTCAGTCTGCTCGGAAGCCGCCGAACAGCTCAGGGGACTTCGTAACTTCTAGGCCCCTAGGCCGACTTAACCCTGAAAAGAGTCGACCTGCTGGGTTGCCTGAAGCTTCCAGTACAAGGGACGCACCGGTGCACGTCGCCGGCGGTGGTGATCGTGTGTCTCATCGCCACTTCCCGTGTGTAGGTGCACTTGTGAGGATTTACCTGACTCGGATCTGAGAAAGCTGTTTCAAGCAAACATCGGGCTACTGGGCTGCTGGGCTCTGCACTGCCCACCTTACATGGGTGATGCGAAGTCTGAGGCTTCTTGAAATCACAAATATTTGCCCACTAACTAACTCCGATGAAGGATACCTGGCAGTCAAGTTTCATGGAATGGAAAACCTAACGCCGAAGGCTGCGGACACGGGTTGACAGTCTTCAGTTGATCCAACATCCCTCAAATGGATGCTTCTGTGACTGAATTCGGGCCCAGCCATTCTGATTCCCCAAAACATGCAATATTCAAGTCAATCTCCCATGCATAGGCACCGGAGAGTTAAGAAAGCACTACGACATGAGAATCTCACACATAAGGTCTTGCAGACGCGTCGGAACCAACTTTGCCCCTATTGCAGTCATCAGCAGGCCTATATACAGCACTTCTACCTGATTCTACCTGCCTGTGAAATCCCTACAACACCGTTCTAAAGCAGATAAAGAACCCTCACAAAACATCCTGTAATTTCGGTTCTGCCGGCCAACCTCCTCCCACGCTGCAACCGCCTTCTCTTCCACCTGGTTCCGCTCAGGAACAAGGGGCTAAAAGGCTTAGCAGGCTCAGCTTGAGGCAAATGCTGGAGCGCCAAAGCCAGCAATGGACTCCCATCGGAGACGCTGTTTTGCAAGAGCGTGTGTGGCATGATCGCTTTAGGCTTCGCCCCTCCACACCCACAGCCTAGCTGGAATCATCCCCGAAACGTGGTCTGTTTCCGTTCGGGCTGCAACCCTGAAGCTTGACATGCATGATACTCCTGCCACGACTAACTTCTCCTAACGTGCTCAAAGCAAAACCAGCAACTGCTGTAACACTATCACGAGTCATGTTCGAGCACGCTCTGCTAAAAGTTGTATTAAAGAACTCTTTCTGAACATTGCATGGCACTCTATATTTCTGAGTTTTAAAGTTTTGCCCAATGATTATTATCCATCATCCGGATTGGGGGAAGGGATTGCCAACGACTACTGCTTTGGGGATGTTAGCTTTGATGAAACTGCTTCCAAAAACAGCATGGACACTTGCACCTTGGTACTGACTACAACTCATGCACGGCTAATGCAGTCACGAGTTTCGGAAATGCCTGTCCGTAAACGCTGTCTATCCTAGACTCTACAAACCCATGCCGTAAGGTCTCCATACTCCCCGTCTCTAGCCCAGATGCCTCAGGCGAAAGCCCGGATCCGTCACACTGTTTGCAGGGTGTCTGCTCCTTGGTTCCGAGCTTTCAAATCTCCAGCTGGAATTCGGGGTTCTGCAGGCCACAATGCTCCAAAGAGCTCCGTTGATCGGGATTGTCATGGCACCTAGAAAGGGGATGTAGTTGTCAATCTACGTGGCCTGAGCCCCTCAAGCGCAACACCAGGGAAATGTCAACCCAAAGCTTGCCCAAAAAGCGAAGTTTGTGCTCAAAAAATTGGCACCGGAGCCCTGCTTGGCATCCCGTCAACTATGCTGCCTGACGCCCGGACACCTTTTAGCTGACCTGAATGTCACATCTTCGGAGTTCCTCAGGCTTGCGAGAGAGGACTAACGGCTCGGGACTTCGCTGGTCATGGCCGGGGCACCCCGGAGCCGAAAAGTCGCCAGGCCTCTGTGGAGCCTTTCCCCATGCATGCGTCGCAGGGAGGCTGCACCTGAGGCTCTCTGGCTCTGGCAATTCTGAGGGTGTTTGACTTCAGATGCTCGTGCTCACACATGTGCCTTCTGGACGACATACTTCCGGCGAAGCACCATACTGGCTCCGCACCTGGGCGGGGCTCTGGAGAATGCTAGGCAGGCCTGGGAAACGTCGCGTTGTAGCGATCCGCTAGTTGATCTGCACGAAAACCAGCAGGAAAACCAGCCACTCATGATCACTCATGTTGACACCCACACGCACACAGAGACAGAGACAGTGACACAACTGCATACAGAGAGAGAGAGAGAGAGACAGATTGAGTCGGACAACAACAACAGCGGGGAGAAGCGAGGAGAGGAGAATAGACGGGAAGCCCTGAGGTGGAAGCTTCAGTGAACACGAAGAGCGAAAAGATTTTCAACGGCCACACAACAGCTCATGTGACAAGCTGAGGCGGTCTGGCCGAAAGGCATGCTTAGCTTCCTCCTGTAGGCTCTTCTTTAAAAAAAAGAGTCAAGCAATGTACATGCGAGGCCCGGCAGAACCTCAGATGCAATGGGCTCCTTCGGTGCCAAGGAGCAGTCTGTAATGTAGGGCCTTATAAATACTTAGAATAGGGCATTATGCTAGAATTGTAATAAGGGAGTGGTACTTATTATTTATAGGCCCCCACAGAAACTTTCCCACAAGTACCAATACCGTAACATAAGTTTGGTCTGCGGCGCTGGCTGCAGGTCTCCACAGATTCCTCGTGCTGATGGAGGTCGAGGTCAGTCGCTTTGCCGGCTGGTGCGTTCCCCATGGCTTTCAAAAAGGGGAAGCGCTCAAAGTACCAGATCGCAAAGAGATCCTGGGATTGGGATCCGGAACACGGATACGTAGCCCCCTTCTGACGGATTTTGTAACTGCCTGATCCATGAGCCGAGCCCTCTTCCAAATGCTACGCCATTTGAACCGCCTTCCATCCCGCAAATTTGAAGAAACAAGCCGGACGAACTCCAACGCAAACCGGACGACCTACGGCCACGGAATGGCTGGAGCTGAAATGGCTGTCGTTCAGGCACAATGCTACTTGTCAGCCAGCAAGACACCAAAGGGGTTTACAGGGTATTCGATCGTCTTCGAGCTTTGCTTTCTGGGACAGTAGTTGCTCCCATATTCATTGCGCTTGATGTTCAGAAGTTTCTTTCAATTCTGTTGGCTTGAGCTTTCGGCATCAAGTCGGCGGCCAACAATCCGATTCTTCTTGCGGCCTCGAGCGATATCCCAAGAAAGCATCTCACTGACTACAGTGTTGCCAACCTCGTTCGGCCCTAAATCGGCGCGACGAAGGTCCAGCATGAGGGCCTCAAGCGGCCGGACTGCAGGTTAGGAATTAGAGTCTCAGCATTACTTGGGGACGATGGCTCAAGATCCATGCTTGTTCTTCAACATCTAATAGGAGTAGATCACAACTTGCGTACCTCATGACCACCTGCAGCTTTACAGCTACGAAAGCAAATACGGGCCACATGCGATTCTTAATGTAGGGGCTTCCATAAGGAGCACAAACAAGTTTTTTAACAACCTCGCATTAAGGGAGGGGTGAAATTGGGATTGAGGCCGGGCACCAGTGCCCCGCGCCAGTGGCGCACACGGGCCGCCGCGCTGATCGCCTAGATGAGAGAGGCCGAAGCAATCCCGGAAGCGGTTGAGAAAAAAACAGAGCCCTGGAGTTCTCTCGGTTAGGGCTTTGCCGGCGACAAGTTCGCCTGTGAAGCCGGAGCCTTGCAGATCCAAATCGCCCAGGCACGGCGTTGTACAACACGATGTTGGCCTCCGCGCCCGACTCCTTTGAGCGGTTCTGCTCATGCTGAGGGTTGAAGAAGCCCGGTTTAATGAGCCAGGAAGTATCATTTGTCCAGCAAGTTCCAAAGCGTTTCAGGCGAAACGCCATAGTGAAGCTTGACGAGCATGCTGAGGGCCTCGCACCCTTATTTTGGTGTCCTGAAAGTCCGCGAAGAGCTGCAAAGACCTCTTCCATTCCAGGCCCTCTGCGCAGGCACTCACAGCCTTGGCCCGACGAGTCTCACTCTGAGGAAGCCGCAAGAAGCAGCTAGACACGCAAAATAGCGCTCAAGAGGTTAAAGCCTTTAAAGAGGACGAGACCGCACCCTCCGTGAGGGTTTGTAAATCACTGCCCAATCAGCCCAAGAAGACCTCTAAGAAGTCTTCATCTCAAATCCTGCACGGCCTCTGCGTCTCCGAAAACTCCGAGTAGCAGCGCTGGTTGTGAAGACATCAGGGCTTCTGGTGCTGTAGAACCTTTGGGACTCTTTTGGCTTTCATTGAATCTTCCTCGGAGCCTGTTCCACCGTTCTTCTAGCGATTGTTGATGCTCTTCTTGCTTGCTCCGAGGCCTTGCTTCGTCAGAGTGTCAGTGCTTTGAGTTCAGTACATCTTGCAAGATTATGTGCCCAAATCGTTCGACTAACACAAAACGCTCTCTCTCTCTCTCTCGGTAGCTCTTTCTCTGTGTCGCTGTCCTATACATGCTCATACATATCTACAGGGCAACGACGAGCAGGAAAGCCTTTGGTGAGCCTCCAAAACTTCCACCAAATCCAATAAGTCTTCAGGAGCAGGATCCCTAAAGGTTCCACTAAACAGGGCACCCTTAGCATACCCCGAAAACTAGGCCGGGAGGGGCCCCTCTCATCTGCACGTCGCCCTCCCATGATTGCAGCCGGCGCCGCTCTGCCAGGAAGGCCAGCGCATGTCGCCATTCAGACGCACAGGCGGTGATCAAGGACGTGCCTGTAGGTGTGTTCATGGCTCCAAACTGTCGCGCTTGCAGGCCAGCTCGAAAGCTTCTGATGGTATGATATGGTATGAAGACTCGTGCATTCTCTGCCAGTGAGTCTTGAAGGTTTACGGCCTTGTGGGAACGAAGGGGTCTTGGGCAATTTTGGGGAAGACCTTGCTGCGGGTTCAACGTATCGTGGGAAGGTTTGAGGCTGTCAGAAGGCGCACTGAGACCGGAAGCTTCTGAATCTCACGCCGGGGATTCGACTACGAAGCCGAGGAGCAAGTGATGGCATCTGCCTGAAGCTAGCAGCTTCAGGTGCTTGTTGTTCAGCTTCCCATGAGACCTTTAAAACTCAGAGCATGATGACAGCCCTGCCAATCGGAGTCGTTCAAAGGTCCAGGATTGGTTTTTCTTAATAAGGGGTTGAGGCGTTGTGTGGGTCACGTCCGGTGTTGTGGCTACTTTGTGGTTGAACGTGGTCTGCCTAGCCAGGCATACGGAGGCACGAGGTTTTTGCCTCATGGTTGCAGCATGCTGGCTGAGTACGCGAACTATGCCTTCTTTGGGCTGATTGCTGCAACAAGGTTACACATATCCTCAGAACGTCCAGACCCCGCCTTCAGCTTGAATTCTCGGAGCTGCATGTAGAGCAATCTCGCTTCAGCAGCGTGGCCCTCCTGGAATCGAAGTGCGCCGTGTCAAGGACATACAGGCACCAAGATTCTCGAGGTTGAGGGGTCAGGCTTTAGCAGCTCTTCGTGCACTTGAGAAGCCGTGCGGTTCCAAACCCAGACCGTAAATGCATGTCCAGTCACATAAAAGAGCATGTGTCGAAGTGTACACATGAACAACATGCGAAAGCTTGAGCACAAGTATCATAGCCAAGACATAAGACTGAATACACACACAAACATAACTGTGTGTGTGTGTGTATGTGTGTGTGCGTGTGTCAGTACATATATATAGATATGTGTATGTAACCGCGGTTTGTTATCTTCAGCACATAAATTACAAAACCATAACCCGAAAAATTTCAGACCGACTATGCTATATTTTGTTTACTGAGTAATTAAAGAAAAATATTCGCATTCCAGGATACTAGTATTAAAAAAACAGCAACTGTTGATCCCATCGCGGTCAATGAATGAACACTCGATGTGAGGCAATATTTCAATGTTGAATGTCCATACATACTTAAGGAGTGATATATCATCATGGAGACATGCATAACACAGGCATCAATCTGTCGGCAACATGGGTAATCTGTTCTGTCGAAATCTTGCACGACTCGACTTGTTGCTGTCATGTCAGCACTGAAGTACTTGCATGTTTAGACCACATACTGTACCTACCCGCTTGCTTGTGATTCGACCGATCATAAAGATTTAAGGATGGGGATGGGGTATGATCTATCGCAGCCCCGGCCCGTTGACAAGCACCGTGACCAGTTTGTGCGTTCCAGTCTGACAAATCTAACATCAACTCCAATCCCCTAGCCCGTTGACAGTCATTGTGACCAGCGCCAACGAAAACAGTAGCAACAATATCACAACCATAACGACGACCACAAGCACAGCAACATCAACATTATCAGGAACAACAACCCATAGGTAATATCAAGAAAGTAAGCAACATGAGGCAACCAAAGTTCCGACAACATGAGGCCACCAAAGT